GATCCTCCCCTTTGGGGTTTTACTCCCTGGGATGATTTCTATAGCGTGGACAACTTCCCTCTCTACGACCCCTGTAGGCTCTTTGAAAAAATCAGGGAACTTAGCAACGACGCATTCTATCTCTGGGGGTGTTTTAACAGCCTCCCCTTTTTCAGAGACATACACTAGGTACATACCCTCCTCTTGGTTTTGCTTATAGTAATTGTAGAACGCCGATGCACACAAGCAGCCATAGGTATCTATAATGCTACTGGCTTTGAACTTAGTCAATCTGACAGTTCTGCCATCGGGCAACTTATGTTTGAGCACCTTCTTATCCCAATCGAACTGGGGCTTAGCAACCTCAAGGTAGTACATGCCTAACAACATGTCGAATGGTAAGTCGTCGCTAACCAAGAACGAAGTCTTATGATTAAGTTTTCCTCCTCCATAGGAGAAGGTACAGACTACGTCCTTGATATAGTCTGTTACTATCATGCGCTCCTTGTTGGCCAAAGTAGATGCTACAGGTCTACTAAGGTGCCGTACCCGGTCCTGTAGGTGCAGCCTTTCCAAACAGTCGCGACTTATGTAATTTCGCGTGGAGCCTATGTCTATGAAGGCGCCACATTTGCGGCCTCCTACATCGACTTCCACCACGAAATGTTCCTCTCTAGGACCTTTCCTTAGCGCCACCCAAGACTCGCGAGGGTCCTTGTTTGACCACTCGCTTTCCAGATCTTCTAAGGCTTCAGACACATCTAACGTACAGAGCATAGTTTGGTCTAGATGTGTCTGCGGGGTGACTAAAGAGTCATTAGCTTTGGCCTGCTCATGAAGTGGGGAGGGTATCATACCCACTTCAACTTGAGTAGAAGCAGCTAAAACTTTCCCTGGCCTCACATGTTTCCCGAGCTAGAAGCCTGGGAAGAAGATGCCCCCATCTTAGGAGGTATCTTCTGCGTGACCTTTGCGTTTTGGCACTTGTACTGGGTGTGTCCGTACTCACCACAGTTTATACAAGCGCCACGCACTCGGCGGTCCCGCCACACGTCTTGATCAAGACCTGCCTTGACCCAATCTCGCCGTCATACTCTGAATAGTCCATCAGGTCTGTGAGCTCGTCGATCTCCGTTTGAGTCCCATCGGACTCAACCATCATCAACTTGGCCCCCTTCTTCTTCCATTCCTGAGGACTCTTCTTCTTCCTCGTATCATTCTGTGAAGGCTGAGCATTGCCTAGTGTGGCCTCCAAGTCTAAGGCTTTCCTAGACAATGTCTCAAATGAATGGTACTCAAGGCGAGCCTCGCTGGCCAGCAAGTTCTTGAGGTAGTCAACAGGAACTGGTTGTTGTAGTTGATACCGAGAACGACAATGAGACTCTCTATGGTAGTTGTAAGGTCCCTGACCGACTTGAACTTTCATTGGTCTAGTCTGTTAATCGCATCAGTGGCTATTTGTGCCTGTTGAGGATTGTGCTAGCGAGCTTCTACCATCTCTAAGAACTCATCTAACGTAATGGTCTTTGCCCAATCCGCCATGCGTCGTCCATACCCGGCCTTAGCAACTAAACCATCTAGCCATTTGGCTACCTTACCCTCGAGGTAAGATGCAGCAGTAACCACCTCATCCTCCTGCAAGGTCCTCTTTGCCTTCACCCAAACCGGGGCGGTCCTCAACCAAGTGTTGAGTTCTTCGTCCTTTCTCTCGCCTGAGAAGGCAAGAGGCGGTTTCATTGGGGTCTTAGGGTACCATTGACCATGCGGCTGTCTGTGTTGAGGAACAGGTTGTTGCGGTGGTGTAGCTCCCACCGTTGGGCCCGAAGAAGAAGATGCAACAGTCTGTGCGGCTGCTGCAAAAGTGCCACTTGGCTGTGTGCCAACTTGTACCGGAAAGGGGCCTGACATTGCCGTTAACGGCAACGGCAACTGTGCTGGTGGCCTATATCCTGGCCTGGTCAGAACGTCCAGGATCTGGTCCAAAGTGTTTTGCATGAAGTCCAACCTGCTGTCAACGTGCGCATGCAGCAACAGCATGTTGTTCTTCAACACTTTCATTGGCTCAGTTAATCTTGACTCATCCAATCCTTCTAACTCAGCTTTGTCAGTCTCTAATGTATCAAGCCTGGCTGCTCTATTTTTAATCTCCCTTTCTCTATCGGTTGCTTTCTTCAGGTCCCTCTCTAACTGTTCACGGATCCTTTCGACCTGTTGGAGCTCCCTGAGCTCCCTTTCGCGAGGAGTCAATGGGTTGTACTGCGAGCCCACCATTTGACTTGTAGACTGCCTAGAACCTAACGAACTGGAAGTACCCGTGGACCCTGCTGGCATTCTCAACTGGGTCCCATTGGTCCCAGACAACGCAGCAGAGGATGTTGTTGAGCTAGTCATGGCTGCTGCCCTGGCTGCTGCTGCAGCCTGTTCCCTAGCTGCGGCGTTTGCAGCTAGTGCACAGGCTCTGCGTTCGGCACGAAGCCGTCTTTCGTCTTCCGGTTGTAGGGCCTGGAACACGTGCGGGATCCTACGTGATCCTGAACGTGTCAGTCTTGCATCGTCAACTCTCTCCTCATCGACGTCTGACTCGTTCATCAATTAGGCAAACATTATCTGCACTAGAACCCCCTAGAGGAATCCTACCACAGCATGTGTCTGACCGGCACCTAATTTTCTAAAAATAGTTGTGTCCGGTAGGTTCCCTACTGTACCGATCAAGTGGCAATCTACAACATTCACAACAGATTGTCAACATAGTTTAGATGTATCCTGATTGGTTCTCTTACAGCAGCATTAGACAGAACTGACTATGGTAGTATACAACAGTCCTAATCTAATCTGTCTGTGAGGTGTTAGCAGTCTGTCCACCAACTCATCAACATACAAAAAGACCATGTTGCAGATGTATGAGTAGTGGGTATGGCTGTGTATCCAGTTGAGCTTCAATTAGAACCTACCCTCCCCTCAATCCAGCATACCGGACAGCATCTTTTAAGCAAGCGGTGTCTTCGTGTGTGTTTCGGCCCACCCCTGTGCCCAAGTCGTTACCGAGCAAGCCAGCCCAACCACTCTTATTTATCCTCGTACGGCGACGAGCCTTCCTGTCCATGTGATCTGGCTGATCAGGAGGGATTTAAGGAGAGCCCCCATCTCCTCAGGAATTCTTTAACGTCGCAGACAGGACGACAATCACAGCCAGATTCACAATGAACTCCCAACCAGAAATCTTTATAGACGGTCTGGTAAGCGTCTGTCATGGGCTGGCACACCCGGCAGGACTTCTATTCAGCGCAGCAAGTGCCAAAATGGACAGCAGCCATCGCATGCGTGACCTACTCCCATTGGGTTGGCATGGTGACCGTGACCCAGTGCTTCGACCAGGGCCCTTCAGAGGCACCGCCCTTACTCCTTCCAGATGCTTC